GTCAAAGAAGGAATTAGAAAGTAAGTTTTTGGATACTACGAAGAGATTGTCTGATCTAGAGACAGAACTTGTAACTGAACAGAAAATGAGAACTGAACTTAAAGAGAAGTTTGATTTAGTTGCTATTGAACGAGACCAGCTTTTACATAAAGTTAAAGACTTTTCATGTGCTCAAAGCTCAACTGGTTCTCCTTCTCATTATCAAACCAGCTTTTATGACTGTTTCAATTTGAACAGTTATTCAAGTAGTCCTAAATCTATTGTTTCTAAGAATTATTCTCGTTTTAATCAGTATTATCAAGGGTATGTCATTGGATCACCCAATTATTCTTCAAAGGTTAAAAGCATTTGGGTCAATAAGTTTGAATCTGTTTTATCTCAGAACTCTGTTGTTACTAACAATCTTCCTTGTTTTGTGAGATCCACCTCTAATTTGATTCATCTTAGCAAGAGAAGAATTATATGCTCCACATGCAAATCAACAGATTTTGGAAGTAAGAAGACATCCAACAGATAGAGTACAGACAACAGAGATCAGAACAATTGGAAAGGTAAGAACATGTATGATTATAATAACTGGCATGGATCATAATATGTATATAATCATCCTGTTCAAAGTGCTAAAAAGAATACATCATATAGAAATAAATGGTTTGGAAGTTACAACATACCCCAACCCGATACTAACATAATAGGACCCAAATTCATTTGGGTACCAAAATCTACTTAATCTGGTTTTGCAGGTGTATCAATTTTGTGCTGATCAGAATATCATTTTAGTGATACACCAATGCAGGGGGGGTTGTAATTTATTCCAAACAAGGCTTCTGAACATTTCAGTTCAGGACCCGTGCTTTACCGAGTGTGGTTTCTAAACACTCAGTTTAGAACCCGTACTTCAAATGATTTATTCAAAAAAAAAAATTTGAGCTTAACTGAATCATTTCTATAATCTACTTTCTAGGGGGAGTCTCTAGAAAGTTCAATAAATGTTTTTTTTTGGAAAATGATTTTTTTTGTAATGAGTACATTCTCTGAACATGTATTTCCTGAGATTTTACTTGTGTGATTTCTCGTCGTACATAACTCCAATACCTGTTTCAGCTATTCTTCAAACTGTTATTATCACGTCTCTTATATGAAAATCTTTTTCGGTGATAATACACTCGTTTGTATTCAAATATTGTTTTTCTGATATTTTTTTTTTCTTTGACTGATATACATTCATTCATTTTTTAATCAGAATCTGTAAACTTGTTTTTACTGATCTTCATTCATTTCTCTCACATATCGAATAATCGTATCATTGTCGCATCATTCTTTCGTTAATTGTGATAAAGCCAAATTTCTTGATCCATTATTTATCTGATCAATGTGTTTTAAAGAAATAATATTTTGATCAACCATTGTGATCAACTGAGCATACTATTTTAGAAGGGACTGAGTGCTTATCAGAAATACCTCTATGGAATGTCAAAACTGACAGACCTACCCAAGAGGACAACCATATCTGAGTGAGCTTAAATAAAAAAGGGGTTGTGTGCTGAGACTAAAATAAAAAAGAGAGGGGTAGTTGTTGTGAGCTAAAAGAATTGATGAGAGTTGTGTCAGGATTAAAAGAAAATGAGAATCTTGTTCTAAACTTCTAAAATCCGGGCATACCACATAATCTATTAGTTCTTATTTTTTTTGGACACTAATATTGAAAAAGGCAAAGACCAGGCCAATTCTTGTCACAACCCCACCAGCTACTCATTTATCTCTTAACAGATAAGTGTTTCAATAACACTTGGGGCACGCAGCTCATCATCTATCAATTTCTCATTTGGAGAAAGTTGATATTGAATTAGAAGGATATATGTCCCTCTTTCAAGTCTTTTTGATCACATATTGAGTCTGATAAAATTGTGTAGTCCACACGATTTATCTTTTTGAGCCTAAACAGAAGCATACGTTGCTTTATCTTTCTACACTACACARATTTAGCATTTTATACGTTATTTTGCCAAAACATTCATAGATATGCTTTTCTTAAGCTATCGATGATTAAATAGAAGACCTAGTGAGATGAGCCTAAAAAAGTCTCATATATACAGTACATCTGTTGTACTAAGTATATCTATTATACTCACAGGCCAATCTTTTTTTATAAGATTGAAAACAATTTCATTTGTTGAAATTGGATGTTACCTTCCCATTCCCTTAATCTGAAAAGATTAAACAAGTGGATTTGCAAAGATCTACTTACATTGTCATGAATTGACGACTTACGTGGAAAATTTCATTCATTCTTGTGTATGATGGAATGATTCTCATTTCATCATAAGGGGGAGTATGTAATAATGAATGAAATATTCATTTCCGAACATTTTAAAGAGATTCTGATGTAAAGATCAAGGGGGAGTAAGTTCAAATTTGGCAAAAGATTCAAAAGAAGTGCGACTGGAGATGATTCTAAAAGATTATTCTGATGCTACAACGACTGAGAGTTTTTGAATGAGAAGATCAATGTTTCAAAAGTTTACCAAAGAAAAAGTTTGGGATTTGTTTTCTGGAGATTCTTTGAAGATCACATCTTGTACATTGTTTCAGATGATTACTATTTTACATTGTCAAAAGAGAAGATCATCGCGATTCTACATTCGAGGGGGAGAATGCTAGAAGATCTTTCTCAACAGATAATTGTCTGAAGATTTCAAGTTGAAGAATTCTTTTTAAGAAGTCATAATGTGCTTAAAGTTTCAAAGTTCAAATAGGACTCAAAGCGTAGAAATTCTTCAAATCTGAATACAAAGGGGGAGAATGTTACGACTGAAAATCAGTATTAAATTGTATTCGTCTTGAAAGTTAAATATTGTCTATAATTGTAAAAGTCATCGTGTTTGACTTTTCTTATAGGAGTTTGACTTTGACCTTGTTTAGTAGTTTGACCCTATAAATAGGGTATTTGTCTTTGTAATCTTTAGAGGAGAGAATTTATTGTAAATCTGATAAACGTAATAGAGGGTTTGACCAAGTATTGATTGTTGACTTTTTATCTCATCTCTTTCATATTGTCACACCCCGCTAAAGCGTAAACACGAGGAGTGATAGTACAAGATTTCATAGCGATAAGGCGAAAACAACACCAATTGTCCATTCAAATACATAACATATAAAGTCCGAAATTACATAATACAAGTTCAAAGTTTTAACAACATGGTGTAAGCAAAGTTTTCAACAAAAAGATTTCAAAAAAAAAAAAATGGTTGATGTCGTTGCGCCCCGAACATAAACGATATTAGTTAACCTTTCTTACCCCTGAAAAGCATAATAAAACAAGGTCAACTACAAGGAGCTGGTGAGTTCACAGGTTTTCAATATCATAAACCTCCTTTTTGCATAAGCGAATATGAGCAAATTAAATTTTTATTGGCACTTGATTTACTTTGAAAGAAAATCTTGGATTGTTTAAGGCAATTTGTACTCTAATTTTAAGTATATAAAGAGCCACCACTAAATCTTTCGACCCCATAAAACTGTTTTTAATTCTACCTTAGCGGTGGGACTAAAACCCCACATATGTAGAACCTTCATTTTTTTAAGTATAAGGCACCCTTACCTGTAGTTTCTAGGTGGGATTGCTATCCACACCTCTACTTATCGGTTTTTAGGTGGGATTGTCCGTCCAAATAGTGCTATCCACAAATACCCTCGRCTCCTCACTTGAGTTAATAGTAGTGTACAAACTTTTATGTTACATTTTACTCAATATAACTATTATTGTACATGCCTTAGTGCCCACAACATCAAATTAACAAATTTTCATAACGTGAGCTAGAAAGGCAATGCAGTCTTTTCTCAAATACTTTCGCATCTTTAAAAATGTCACTATTTTAATACCCCTTCTGGGTTTCTCTCCGTGTACTTCGAGTATTCCCCCTTCGGGTAACGGAATTTGAACGATCTTCTCGAAACAACTAATTTCAGCTTGGTTCTTGGATAACCAATCCATGTCCACAATTATGTCAAAACTTCCTAGTTGATTCGGGATTAAATATATACGAAAATCCCTACTAGTCAAGTTTAAAGTGCAATCCATTATTACGTCTTTGGCCTTACACTCTTGACCGTTGGCATATTCAATGATGTATACTTCTTTCAACTTTTGAGATCTTAGATTTATTTTTGGTCTAAAATCCAATGACACAAAACTCCTATCCGCTCCAAAATCAAATCGTATAGATACGTAATGATTATTTAAGAGAAACGTACCTGTAACTACATCTGGACTCTGCCTTGCTTCCTCATCCCCAATCTCAAACACTCGGCCTCTTGTCGGACCTCCTTGATTCCCTTGATTGGTTAGTCATGCTTGGTTAGTGTTCGGTCTCTAGTTCCATCGTAGACATGCATTCCGAAAGTGATCTAGGCTTCCACACTCTAAACATGCTCGCCTTCCTGTGCTTCTGCAATCTTTGGCACAGTGACCTCCTTTGTTGCATTTTTGACAGATAATACATYRTCCGGCATGCTGTTTATTGCACTTCTCACACCTTTGATAAGTTCTTTTCTCCTTCTCTGCTGATTGAGTCTGAATCCCGTAGTTTCCTGATATTTTCAGAGCCTTTCCCATTCTTCCCCCAGACTGCCTTCGTGTAGGTTCCTCCATCTTTCTCTTCCCTTAAGTCTTATCTTTTACAAACATTCCCGAACGAGTAGCATTGTTGGTGAGTTTGGTTGCCGAACTTACTGCCTCTTGTAGGGTTTTTGGGTTTGCCGCTATAACATTCCCATGTATCACCGGAGATAATCCACAAATATATCTATCAACTCGATTCTCTTCATGCGTCACTAGATGCGGTACCATTTTTGCCAACTCATGAAAACGTGCAGTATAAGAGTCTATATCATTTCCTCTCATTTCATGATTCCATAATTCTGCTTCCAGTTTCTGGATCTCGCTTCTTGGACAATATTCTTCTTTCATCATCCTCTTAAAATCTTCCCACGTAAGACCGTTGGCGGCTTCTCGGCCCCGAGTTTGTACTTGGGTATTCCACCAAGTTAATGCTCGTCCATGTAATAGACATGCAACAAACTCTACTTTCTTCCCTTCGACACATTCGCTAATATGGAGCACAGACTCCATGCTCTCTAACCAAGTCATTAATCCCACGGCTCCCTCAGTACCGTGAAATTCCTTCGGATTACAACTCCTAAAGGATATGTACGTACATTCTCTATTTCCCGATCCTTGATTGTTGTTTTGATTATTATTTAGGCCAGCTGCCACTTGGCTAACAATGTTTGGAAGTGCAGCCATGAGTTGCTCGGATACAAGTCGTGCAACTTCGGAATCATCCCTTCTCGGAGGCATTGTTCTAAAACACATTTTTAAATTGGGTTTTGGGCAACTTATGTTACTATGGCCATAATAAATCTACTTACTAAATCATACGTATCCTATAACATACAACATTATTCATGAAAACATATACTCCAAAACAACATGCATAAATTTCATAAATAGCCGAAGCAAACCAAACATAAGTTTTTAAAATATAACCCAAAAGACATTAAATTGTTTAAACTTAAATATATAGGCTACAAGCCCCAAAAGAAGGTATTATCGACCCAAAAGTTTCAAAATAACGAGAGTTCCCTAATGCATTAACACCCTAATCAATATCCCTATCATCATCACTAGAGCTCCTACCGCCCAAAACAAGTACACGTACAATCTTCGATTCGCCCTCCTAGTCTCGAAAACGACATCCATAATCCCCACAGTAAGATTATCCTGTGCGAGCAAGACTGTAAAAATGTCGTCTAAGGACTACTGGACGTGATCAAGTGTATGATGGTGGGACTGTAACTGACTGCTCAAGCCTGAGACCCAAAAGTTCTTTGTTGCAGTCATGCCCTGAGGCTGTGGCACAGGAATTCCAATTGCTGGGAGAGGAGGGGTCATGCTCCGTGATCGGGACTGTGATCCGGCTGGCTCGCTCAGAGGCTCGGAGGGAACTACGATAATCACCCTCCAAGGAGGGAGAACACGCTTACGAGCGGTTCTCATGATCCTAGGTCCTCGCAACGGAGCATCCACATCGATCGGAGGTGGCGTAGGTACGGATGATTCAACAGAAGTCTCTCGGGTGGCTGCGTCACTTTCCTCGGATGGGTCACTCTCCTCACAGATAGGTTGGTTTCTCCTAGGGAGGTTGGTAAAGTAACCGGATTCATCAGGGGAGTGCTCAGGGAGTGAGGATGAGTGAGACATTTTTAAACTGCGACAGTAATAAATTTAAGTACTAACTGTACTTAAGTAAATAATAATTCATAAAATAAAAATACTCATGCAACTCACAATTATGCTTTTCCTTTGGGCAAGAAATTTTTATTTTAGCCGACTTTCAATATAATTGTTCCTTGTCCCTCCTTAAACATATTAAATTAGTCATAGGTGATCAGGCTTTGCCTAATTATAATATGCTAAGTCGACACTTAGTCCAATTATACCAGTAGTAAGCTAAATTAGTTTAGGAAATATATATATATATATATATATATATATTTAAATCATTTGGTTATAGTATTTGGTTTAAATAGAAAACCGGTGTTCTCTATAACATATGGCTCTGATACCAAGTCTGTCACACCCCACTAAAGCGGAAACACGAGGAGTGATAGTACAAGATTTCACAGCGATAAGGCGAAAACAACACCAATTGTCCATTCAAATACATAAAATATAAAGTCTGAAATTACATCATACAAGTTCAAAGTTTTAACAACATGGTGTAAGCAAAGTTTTCAACAAAAAGATTTCAAATAAAAAAAAATGGTTGATGTCGTTGCGCCCCGAACATAAACGATATCAGTTAACGTTTCTTACCCCTGAAAAGCATAATAAAACAAGGTCAACTACAAAGAGCTGGTGAGTTCACAGGTTTTCAATATCATAAACCTCCTTTTTACATAAGCAAATATGAGCAAATTAAATTTTTAATGGCACTTGATTTACTTTGAAAAAAAATCTTGGATTGTTCAAGGCAATTTGTACTCTCATTTTAAGTATATAAAGAGCCACCACTAAACCTTTCGACCCTATAAAACTGTTTTTAATTCTACCTTAGCGGTGGGACTAAAACCCCACATATGTAGAACCTTTATTTTTGTTAAGTATAGTGCACCCTTACCTGTAGTTTCTAGGTGGGATTGCTATCCACACCCCTACTTATCGGTTTTTAGGTGAGATTGTCCGTCCAAATAGCGCTATCCACAAATAGCCTCGGCTCCTGACTTGAGTTGATAGTAGTGTACAAACTTTTATGTTACATTTTACTGAATATGACTATTAGTGTACATGCCTTAGTGCCCAGAACATCAAATTAACAAATTTTCATATTGATAATGAAAATAGCTCATATAACACATTCAATCATGCTTTTCATCCCAAAACGTAATAAATACTTTGAAAGAGGGGCTGTGAATACTCACTCTTTTGCAAAGCTCCGCTAATAAAAACACGATCTGGTCCCCACACGTAGGCTTATCGTTCCCCTATCAAAGAGGAATATCCAAAACCGTCACTTATGGGTTTAAAACTACTTATGAGAATTAATAAGTCCTAAGTCCATAATTGTCTACATATGTCCAACTTGATTATCTATAGTCCAAATATACATAATGCACATATGCTCGTTAAAATAGTAATTTATACCGGAAGTAATGTTATAATCCAATAAATGATCAAAATTTATAAAATCAAATAAATTCCAGAATTTCACTTTTGGACAGAAACTAATAGTACTAAAAATGATCAATTTATAGAGACTTCTAAAATGACATAGTTTCCTATATTTTTATATGGGATATAGAACTGATTTATGGTCATTGTGACCAAAGTTCATGTCACAATTGGTATGACAGATTACACTATGTTAGTAAAATACTCATTTGAAGAGTTCTACTAAGTGTTTTGCAGAAATTCAAGTTGGATTATAAAGTCAAAACCTAAACGAAACGTTTAAGATAAGAATTACTCATTTTGGATGAGTTAAGAGGAAGATATGGCACCATAAACTTACATGCACTCATCTGTCATTAGTTGACAGATTGAACACTTAACTTTAATAAATTAGTTAATGCCTCAAAACTTCATATTTTTGAGTGAAACTGGGTTCATATGAACCCTAACTCATAAAAGAATATTTCAGAAGATGAATCATATACGAAGAGCAAGTAATAAAAGATATATTAACACACAAAGTAGGAGTTACCTACTGATGGTTTCATAGTTCGCACACCTAAAGTGTTTTAGGTGTTTGGAGGTCTAAACTCCATATTTTCATGTGAAGATAACTCATAAAGTTAACTCTCAAAGGAAGAATCATCCTTTTTCATTGAGTTTTGAAAGAGATATGGTCATTAGAACATGCATATACAAATCTGGCAGTTTCGGATAGATTGCATACTCATTTTGTTTTGAGTAGTTAAAACCTCAAATCACCATATTTGTTAATGAAATCGATGGAATTTGAAAGGTAACTCATTAAATTAACTTCTAGAAGAAAAATCAATGAATTTGGATGATTATTTAGAGAGTTATGGTTGTTTAAAGTAGGGTTTACCTACTGAAAAACGCTCAGATGTACATGCATCTTGTTTTGAGTATTTGGGGAGTCAAAACTCAATGTTTTTGAGTGAGACCAATTGGATTACAACCCCAACTCAATAAATGAACTTTTAGAAGAAGATTCATGACATTTGAACATATTATTTGCATGAAATGGACGATTTATGCACATGCATATAATCTGCCAGCACTTACAATGCAAGAAAAAGTGGAGATGAGGTTGTTACCTTGATTGATGATGAGAAGGATGCAATATCTTCAAAATCTTTGCTATTTTGATGGAAGAAATATGGAGATATTGGCTGAATATGAAGAATGATGAAGATGATCTAAAGTGACTCTTGAGTTTAGGGAGAGAGAGGGAGAGGAAGTTTCATAATTTGAAAAGGTGAGAATAGATTGTAAATGGAAACATTATGGTATTTATATGTGGATTTAAGAGGGAAAGGGGAGGGGGTCGCCGGCAATGGGGAGCCCAACCCCATAATAATAATTTTTTTTTATAAACTTTAAGCCCAAAAATTGTTAAAATGTCATTATTCTCAATTTTGACAATTTTCTTCAAATTAAAAACCCATGTTGGTTAAATCCATTTAAATAAAAAGTTTTATATTTAAAACACTAAAACTTTTGTGTTTTATATCAATTGGGTATAAATTGGAGCATTTGGCACTATATAGGACGTTTTAGATAGTTATGGGTCGGAACCGGACTTTCTAAGCAACTACCGAAAACTCTAGAAAATTTTTGGCCAATCTAATCTAACTAACTCCTAATCATATAAATTATCTTTAATAACACTAATATAAACTTAATAAGAGCTAACCTGGAAGCTCAAATTTGACAGTTGTCACACATATTGTGTTCTTACAAGTTCATCAAATCTGCCATGGATTATTACTTGAAGATTGATCATTGTAGGGGTCTCACAACCCGGCCTCTGAAGCCGAGGAAGAAGAAGAAGTTGTTGCAACATCACGAGATAGCTCGTTACTAGAGGGCTATCAAGGACATGATGGAAGTCCTTCAAGGCCTATATTTTCACAAGGCAATGAGGGGGACTCTGGAGCTGATGGCTCAACCTGCAGCATCCGTTGCTGCAGGGGTTACCAATGTGGCTGATCTGGTCACAAAGGCTGAGTTCCAAGCCTTTGTAGACTCGATCCAGCGGTCCTTGAAAAACCTAAAACTCATCATACAAGAGATTGTCGAAAACCCTCCATCCATTGATCTCACCTCCCTTCGATAGTCCTTTGCAACCCTCAAAACCCAAACCCGAGACAACACAACACGTCTCTAAATGTTGCAACAAACAGTCACCTAACACCATAACACCTCATCTGTCTTCGCCACCCAAAGAAACCAACTTTTAATGAACTCCATCGCCACTCTCACGGCCCAGGCAACTGCTACCGATGAGACCCTAGCCTCCATCTGCACCCACATAAACACCATCCTCCAAACCCTCAACACCCTTCCAACCACCATAATCTCCTACATCCCTCAACCAACCCTACCCCAACATCATCAATCGATGAAACCCTCGCCTCCCTCTCCAATCAATTGACCACCATCTAAAACACCCTCACTTCCCTCCCAGCTACCATATTAGCCCACATAGCCCAACCTCGCCTCCCTTTCGATGAAGCCATTTCTTCCTTCATTGCAAAGGTGAGGAATATCATTGCCAACATCCCCATCCCACCATCCACATCCACTTCCATCTTTATGACCCCACC